AAAACAAAGGTTCAAGTCAGTGCAAGTACTTTTACAGCAAGTGTCTCTTCTCTTTTTCTACACAAGGCAATGTCCCAGGGCAACATCCCAGGGCCACAAATGCATAGTAAGAGAATCTGAAGTATCAGTGAATATTCTAAATGTACTAACATGCATGTACTAAAACATTACACATTTCTAAAACACTGTTCCTAATATACATATTGTTACATACATTTGTATTTACTTAGTAAATATGTTTTAGTACATTCGTATTTAATAAAGGCTTCCTTTTTATTTCTTTGGTTGGAGATGGGGGATGAGGTGAGGAAGATTACCAGTTTCCTGATGTTGTTAATTATGAAAAAGTGAACAATTATACTTGTACTGAGAACATACCATTTTGATTCTTATGGCAGTGGTCAGCTTTAAGATGAAGCACTTTTTACTCAGTATTGCTGCAACCAGGCAGGTCTACACCAGAGGATCCCTAGAGGACAGTTTGGAGAGAGAGACCTGGGCAAATGCCAGAGTTAAACTTCCCGATGGTTCCACCAAGAGGGTGTTGGAGGACAGCAGTAGTGAGACAACTGCACTCTAAATTGCCGAGAAAATAATCATAACATACCTAGACAGTTTCCTGGAGTAACTGTTAAACTTAGCCCTAGGCTTCAACCCTCCCTGCTTTCCCTGCCTTCTCTCAGATTGAGTCAGTACCACCCCTTCAAAAAATTGAAAAGTTGAATTATCATCCTAGGCATTCCATTTTTAGTGACTGTGCCAACACATAGTTAATTCACAGATCATCAAAATAATTTCCAAGTCAGTGAGAAACAAGGACAAACACTAGAAAATGTACCCCACCTCCTAATTTTCATAGAAATCTGTTATGTCTTTCAAAAGAGCTCTGGAATTTTCAGAGGAAGGAGGAATGATGATCTGGAATTGGCAAAAACAAACAAGAGCTCACCATGATTATTGGTTTTGGGGTATATGACTGATCAGGTTAGGATCTGAACTGATTCTGCCTGACTTCAAATCATTTCCATTATTACCACTTCAGGTTTGATGGGAATTAGAGGTCTTGGACCTGAATTTCAATATTCTCTTGCCATTCCTGCAATGTTAACCACTTGGCTGCTTTCAAAGTTGTATTGCTTTAAACAGTTCCCAGTATCTATTTAAAAACCTGGATTCCTATAAACATTTTTTTTAAGTCCATACTTTGCAATTGGTTAATGCATTGAAGAAACTGGATTCTCTTTCCCATAGTCTGGATTTTGTATTTCCTATGGTGTTATTTAACATGGACTCCTGTTTTCTGTAATTCTTGGAAACTGGTAATCAGATCTTGAGGCTGATCAGACTCAAGCTTCATTTTTGGTAAGAATACCTCATAGGTGGTGTGTACTTTATCAGAAGCCATGTAATGTCAGGTTGTCTCTCTCTTCTTTGCAATATTAGTAGCCATGGTGATTTTGGCCTAGGTCCATTATTAGGTCCATTATTTCATTAGGGTGAAAAATGTTGATATTGTATCAACTCTTTTTATTAGATAAATAACTTTGAAAAAGGGCACTTCCCTTTATCAATTGTGGGTAACCCTGAGGTATAAGACATTTAGGAAAGATAGGCTATGCCATCGGATCACCTTTGAAATGGGCTTATTGGAGAGTTCCTGTGGTTTTAAGGATGGATATATTTTGCTTTTGAAGTATTTAATTGTAACTTGGCCTATTTCTAAAATGAGACTGCATTTACAGGGTGCAGTCTCACATTGTGGCTTAATATTTATATTAATGTTTATTAATATGTTACAGGATTCTTTCTAACATCCTTAAGAGGACTGCTCGGAGAAGCATTCAACAGTTCAGCAAGCAACTTTCCAATGTTCAGCTGCTTTTCACAAAAAGCTCATAAAATATTAAACTCTTCTCTGAAAGGTGACCAACTAAATAATGTAGGAAAACAAAGGTTCAAGTCAGTGCAAGTACTTTTACAGCAAGTGTCTCTTCTCTTTTTCTACACAAGGCAATGTCCCAGGGCAACATCCCAGGGCCACAAATGCATAGTAAGAGAATCTGAAGTATCAGTGAATATTCTAAATGTACTAACATGCATGTACTAAAACATTACACATTTCTAAAACACTGTTCCTAATATACATATTGTTACATACATTTGTATTTACTTAGTAAATATGTTTTAGTACATTCGTATTTAATAAAGGCTTCCTTTTTATTTCTTTGGTTGGAGATGGGGGATGAGGTGAGGAAGATTACCAGTTTCCTGATGTTGTTAATTATGAAAAAGTGAACAATTATACTTGTACTGAGAACATACCATTTTGATTCTTATGGCAGTGGTCAGCTTTAAGATGAAGCACTTTTTACTCAGTATTGCTGCAACCAGGCAGGTCTACACCAGAGGATCCCTAGAGGACAGTTTGGAGAGAGAGACCTGGGCAAATGCCAGAGTTAAACTTCCCGATGGTTCCACCAAGAGGGTGTTGGAGGACAGCAGTAGTGAGACAACTGCACTCTAAATTGCCGAGAAAATAATCATAACATACCTAGACAGTTTCCTGGAGTAACTGTTAAACTTAGCCCTAGGCTTCAACCCTCCCTGCTTTCCCTGCCTTCTCTCAGATTGAGTCAGTACCACCCCTTCAAAAAATTGAAAAGTTGAATTATCATCCTAGGCATTCCATCTTTAGTGACTGTGCCAACACATAGTTAATTCACAGATCATCAAAATAATTTCCAAGTCAGTGAGAAACAAGGACAAACACTAGAAAATGTACCCCACCTCCTAATTTTCATAGAAATCTGTTGGCTAGAAATATATGAAAATTGATATTAACTGGGGAATACGGTATAAATTGTTTAAAAGGATTCACAAAGTATACCTTATATTCAGGTCTTGTCAGTGTCTTAATTTTAATATATATAAGTTCCATGGGCACTTAGAATTACATTTTACTAAGCTTTTTATTGAAGTGTAATACACATAAAGAAAAGTGGAATTTGCATATTTTAGGTCATTAGGTAGTATCACATAACCATAATTCCCGTATTAATTCCTGCTGTGGCCCATAGCTTTTCTTAAAAATTGTGAATTTATGTGATAGAACAATCTCAATTTCAAAGCGGCATTAAGTTCAGTTGTGCTGTGCAGCATCAGTCTCAGTTCTGAGTAATGTGTAGAACAATGTGTAGTATTTTATACTGGCCAATGAACTCAAAAAGTTGAAAAGTTGAATTAATGAAAAAGTTCAGCCTAGACTTCCAAGGTTATATTTTTCTACTCAAGGTTTATTATGTATTTCTATTCTATATGTATATAATACACACACACGCACACACACACATGTATGCAATTTATGGTATTCTTAACATCTATGTTAACTGCAAAGAATAAAAAAATTTTGCAACCAAGAGTTGAAATGGCAAATTTCTGAGGGATCAGATTGTGCTTGTAGACTATCATTGTAGCTTTATTATCAGTTATTTCCTATGGGAATATTTCACTGGGACATAATTTTATGCCTTGACTATTCATTAAATATCTTGGTACCATGGAATAAAAACATTGAAAAACTATAAATAGGAATGTATGCAAGTTACAGTGTAACATTTCATTGCATTTTCCTAGATAAGGATTATTTAACAAGCTGTGCTTCTTAGTGATCTCTGAAAGAATTTTAAAACACTAACAGTATGATCTAGTGGAGAATTAGGCAATAGACTGGAAATTCAAGCTATTTGTTTCCTCTAAATTAAAACTGACTTAAAAATACTGTGGAGAACAGCAAGTCAATTATAAATAGTCTCTGCCCTTAAGGAGTTTATGAATTTTTTTGTATGGGAGATAGGGCATGTCTTGTATAAGACAAAAAACAATAAATATACTATGAGTGGGTATGAATAAAGGACTATTGGAGAGATCATGTCCCTCTGGGAGATCAAAGATGACTTTATATAGAAGGCAGTTGAGTGGTCTTAAAGGATGGTAAGATTTCTGCAAATAGAGGTGCAGGTAAAATTACGCCAGGAAGCAGAGACTAGATACTAAGGTAGTGTAGCTTAAAGCAAAAAGACTGGAGCCTTTGGTGGAAAAAGAAGCTATGTAGAGAAATATAATTGGAAATAGGTAAGTTACTGATAAATTCTTTTATTGTTATTAAAGATTCATTTGTTGAACAAACATTTTTTGAGTACTTAACATATGCAGTTAATGTGCTAGGAATTAGGTGTACATTCACAAGCTACTCAAAGGCCCTTTCTAGTATGTAAATACTAAAAAAATGTAACTCCGAAATCAGGGATGATGGCAACACTGATTCTTATCAATCACTGATAGATTAACTGATCTTCGAAAACACAAGGTACTTACAAAGAACACGAGGTTTAATGCTTTTGAGAGAGTTGGTATTTCCAAAGAACACTATTACTCAATTTCAATCCAATTGTTTCTCAACCCAGTTTTAATGAAAATGAAATGTTAGGGTGGGGTGCTGGGGGCACTGTATTTGCCGCTCCATTTTACAAGTTTTGGCTGGTATAATTAGTTTTGTGTTAGCATGCATTAATTGGAAAAAAAAAAAGAAAACAGAGAACATGGGTGGTGATTTTTTTTGAGAAAAGTATCGCTACAAATTACCATTGAATAGCTATCTCCCTGTGCAATTAAAATGATTCGGAACGGTTCTAGAACACATTGCACTGAGATACACCTGTACTCATACTGTGTCCATGCAATCTTTGTTCTCTCTCAGGCTAGGACTTGCTGTTAGACTCGCCTCGTGCAATGGTGACAATGGGGAGGGTGAAAGTGATGTGGTGGCAGCCAGGAGAGCACTTTCCCTTTCTCCATCTCCCTAACCAAAACTTTGCAGCCTCCAGCCCAGACTCGCCCTCCCGCTGGTTCTTTCTCCGGACTTAACTCTCTCTGCACCCCCACTCTGTGCGCTCGCCTTCGCTTCGCTCGGTTTGTTTGCGCCCTCACCCGCCTCCCCTCCCGGCGCTCCGCCTCGCCACGCGCCGCGCGCCCACCCGGGAGCGCAGCTCGGCAGCGGTGGCCTGCGCGTCCCGTCGCGGCCCGGGGCTGCGGGGCATGCGCTCTGCGGCGCCGCCGCCCTCCCCCGCCCTTCCCGCGGCAGAGTTATGCCAAGTATGTGAGGAGCCCGCGAGGGCCAGCGCCGGTCATGGGGAGCCGCCGCCGCCTCCGCGAGCGCGGCTCGGTCCTCTCCCCGGGGCGGGGACGAGCCTAGTCGCTGAGGCGGAGGGGATGGCAGACCCTCTGAGGAGGACGCTGTCCCGGCTCCGGGGGAGGCGGAGTCCCGGCGTCGCCGAGGGGCTTCGGCTCCCCGCGGCAGCGGCAGCGGCGGCTTCCTCGACCGCCGAGGGAGACGCCCGGGGAGAGCACGTCGGTGGGGCCCGGCTGAGCCCGGGGCGGACTCCGCCGTCGCCTCAGGCGTGGGGAAGCGGGGCGCGCGTCCCGGGAGGGCGTCGGGAGCGGTCGGGGGCGCTCCGGCCACCGCCGCGCGGCGGCAAGGAGGCTGCTCCCCCGGGTCGCGGGCTCCCCCGCGCCCCTTCGCACGCCGCGCCGGGCTCCAAGGGCAGCGGAGAGGAGGAGGACCCCGACGAGGACGGCGCCGACTATTACGAGAACCTGCCCGGAGGCTCGCAGTCCGCGCCCGAGCCTGACGGGGCGGAGGCGGAGAGGTGGCCCCCGCCTCCCCCGGCGGCGGGCTCCTCCCCGGGGGCGGAGGGCGGCCGCCTGGAGACGGGCAGGCTGCAGACCCAGTTGCGAGAGGCCTATTATCTGCTGATCCAGGCCATGCACGACCTGCCCCCTGACTCCGGCGCGCGGCGGGGCGACCGGGGCTGGGCGGATCGCGGCTGCCTTGCGGGAGTCCGGGCTCTGGGCCAGCCGCCCTCGGCCTGCGGCCCCTCGGACAGCCGGGCCAGCCCCCGACACTGGGAGCTGGGAGGCGGCGACTGCCCTTGGCAGCAGGTGTCCCCGCCCCGGTCGCCTCCGAACGAGTCGGGGGGAGGCCGCCTGCGGACTCCTCGAATGAGGCCGTCCTGCAGCAGAAGCCTCGAGAGCCTCCTGGTGTGTGCAAAGCCGCCTCCCTTCCAGCGGTGGCCGAGCGACAGCTGCATCAGGTGCAGCGCGCGCGAGGACCTGGACGAGCCCCCGCCACGTGGAGACTGGATGGACAGCTGGAGTGGAGGCAGCGCCCGCGCCGCGGTGCCCTCTGGCCTCCTAACTCCCGGCTCCAGGGATCTCCAGGATTTAAACAACCTCGGTCGCTCCTCGGGAGGTCCTTTCAGGGATCCTGCGGGGTCCTCAGTGTTAGACAGAGGCAAAGGAGACTGCCAGGAGGGGCTCCCCTTCCTCAAACCGCCGGCGGTGACAGTCAAGAAGCTGCAGAAGTGGATGTACAAAGGACGTCTGCTGTCGCTGGGAATGAAGGGTCGCTCCCGTGGGACACCCCCAAAAGCCACGGGAGCTCAGGCAACCTCTCCAAATCTGAGCGCTTTGAAAATGCATGAAAGCCAAAGAATTACCGACCAACGAATTACGTTGACAGGTAGGATACTTTACAATAAAAATACCAACACCTCGAGCCTTATTGTTTACCAGGTGAGTTTCTCTCTTAAGAACGAAGAATAAGGTATGTTTTTGCAGACAGGTAACGTGCCCGTGCCAAAGTAAATGTCATGGAAGTGGCAGCTTAATGCGATTTCGAGGTTACGTAGTATAATACCTTCACTCTTTTTGCTTAAAAAAATATTTTTTAAGACCTTGGCATGAGGAACTTGGCGTTTTTGTTTTTCCTCTCTAAGAACGAGTGTGCCCACTTCTAAGCACAACAATGGGCAAAGGTTAAGTTCACCACACACTTTTAGTTAAGCGTTGGGCGGTGCTGCCTTGATTTTTATTCTGTGTAGCGCTAGGCAAATCCAGAGACTTCTGTGGAGTTTGTGAATTTGATTTTGATCCAAAGGAGAGTTTACAGGCTTCAAAACTGTCATTTTACTCATTACACCTTCCCCCCCACCCCTCTCTCTCTCTCTCTCTCTCTCACACACACACACACACCTTCCCCCAAACNCTCACATGCTTCCCTGTAACAGTCTGGAGAGGCCACACCTTCCCCCCCCCCGCCACACACACATACACACACACACACCCTCCCTCCCTCCCTCCCTCCCTCCAAACCAAGAAAGTACCACAGTAAAATTTCCTTTTGGTTAAGTAGAATTTCACATATTTCTCTCCACATTACCCCTACAAAAAAAAAGAAAGTAACCTTTTTAATTGTGGGAAGCACTAGTGTTTTAATTTTAAAAAAAGTGTCTCATGTCCTTGTTGAGAAAATGCTGACATTTAAGTTCATATGTAAACTTAAGTATATTTATCCCTATAATAGAATGTTTCTTCCACTTTTGTATGTGCATGATCTTTAATTTTTAATGAAAGTTTAGGTTACCAGTTGTAGAAATCTCTTAATTTTGTTGTAAATAGCAAAAATTCTTTTCTGAAAGAAGTGTAATACCTTTAAACTGAGCCAAAAACATGGTCTTTTGAAACACAATCTTAAATGTAAATAGACTTTTAGTGAACATAAGGACTCCCATGTCAGTAATAATTTAAAAGATATTAAATGCTGAAATGTGAAAGGTATTCAGTATTTGGCAGTTTCTCTGGTAAGAATTACAAATCCTACAGGACTGGGTTTATACTCATTAACTTTGTTTAACCAATAAACACAAAACAGTGGGGAGAAACAAAGTTCACAGAACTTCTAATCACTCAGTGAGGACAGATCAAATGATTCACTTAAAATGTACATAAACTTGAAAAGTTTTTTGAGTTTATAAATCTCTGATTCACACTTGTCAATTTTTTCCCTCAAATTTATTCCATTTCACTTGAATAAACGGATAATAGAATGCAACTTTTTGTGAAGAGATGTACTTTATGCTAAGTTCATATTAAAATATGCATTTCTAGGAGTGAAGTATTTGTAATCATTTATTAAATTTTATTGCCACTACATCTTTATCACCCATAATCTTTGTTCAGTTAACTCTTTGTAATAAAAGAGTTAAATTTCATCCATCACAAAAATCTGTATAAAACTTTAAGTCAAATATTTTTTACCCTTTTGTTGGAAAGGTTAAACATTTACCATGTGATGGCTTCTAAGGCCCTCTGTTGTAATGTAAACATTCAATCAAGGATTTTAGAAGTAATAATAATAAGTGTAGTCAAGCTAAGGATGAATTCATTGTTTTTTTCATTGAGAAATGAAATGAAATTAGCTTTAAAATAAAATGAAACAGAATTACTGTGAGATATTAAAGATTTAGATAATCTGTGGTTTAAACAACCTTTAAGATGTTATTTCCTTTCAAATCACTAACTAATCTTTTAGGAAAGATATAAATAACGTGTAATGTTTATATTTCTAGTATAGATTTGGGCAATTTTTAAAAAACTATTTTTCATGAAGGTTAGTTGAACTTACTAAAACCATTTTAGATATTTTATGAGGTTCTCATATAATCTTCATTTCACACACACACATACACACACACCACCCCCACATCCCCAAGGAGGTATGACAAGTGTCATTTTAACAGCAACAAAAGAAATGGAGGATAAGTAGACTGTCCAAGGTCATTCAAACTAGTGTATGGTTTGTGTATGCTAATACATGGATTCAGACTATTATGTGGGTTCAAACTTGGGTCTCTCTGACTCCAAAACTCCTATTTATATAAAAGCCAAAGAGACTAAACATCTTTAGAGGTTTCATCCACTTAATTATATTAAATTGCTTGGATAATGGAGATGGATGGAATTTCAACAAGGTTTAGAGGGATAACTTCCTCAAAGTTGCAGAAAAGATGGGGGACTTCTAGAATAGTTTAAAAGACATTTAAAAAATCTATATAACCATTTAAAACTGTTATCTTCAAATATATACTTAGTTCAAATTGATTTTATTACTTGTATTCTACATTTAAATCATAATTTCTAAAAATGCTAATTGGGCAGTCCAAATGAAGCAGTGCATTTTTGGTTATATAAAAATGTTAAATAGTCTGAAAAATTTTTATCACATTTTTCTATACAATATTATTTGTGAGGATGTTTTCTTTCAAGATAAAGTTACAGAATTTATAACAAAATAACTATGTAATGGGATAAAGATACCTAATCTACTTAGGTATTTAGGAAATTTTTGAGGCTATATAACATGTGAATGCCAAAATGATTTTGTTTTGATTTCTGGCTCCTACTAAGAGCCACTAAAGCTTCTGATAGTATAATAATGCCAGTAGTTTGGTGCGGTTGGGTATGTAGTGTTCGCAGATTGGCCAATTTGTTCCTAATTGAGATGATTATTTAAGAAATCTAAAATCATTACACAGTCAATATTGTCAAGTTTCTGCAAGCCTTAAGATTATGAAGGAATTTTAATGTATTTGCCAACTATACTTCATTGTAAGTCTTTATATATAAGTTTTAATTAGCATATAGTACTTAGAAATAAATTCAAAAGCATTGGGTTGAGCTGTTTTGGCCTTTTAATTGCTTTAAAAAATAATTAGCCTATTTTGATTACTTTTCTTGCTATGTGATTTGCGAAAGAAAAAATTTAGGGCATACAACTTGTTAATATTTGTCTGAAATTTTTAGACAATTCTTTTAAAATACTATTAATTGATGTGCTACTGTGGATTATATCTTAAAGTGAAGTTGATGCTTATTTATAATACAGATTCATATCCTCTTTACTCAAGGGTTTGTAGCTCTAATTTCTTATCTTTATGAGTTACATTATCTTTATGAATTTTTTCAACAAATTCTTTTATGAATCATCCCTCTTCAGGTGTGGTAGTAACAGGCATACAATTTTTGACTGTCTTCCAGCTTTTAAATCCTTCTCTGAGAAATTCTGCCATTGTGGCCCTAGAAGCAAGTCCAGTTGTTTTTTTTTTTTGGAAGAGTGCCCTAGAGTTTTGGAGTTGCTGGTGGCAGTAAAACTCTGAGAATTATACATTCAGCAGAAAATGGGGTTTTGTTGATCTGAAAATCCTACATTTCTAAGAGGAATTTAGTTTTTGAGAGTCACTAAGGCTATTTTCTTGACCTTTGTCACTGAAAGTGTAGGTCACAGGTATAAAGCAGTGCTTTTCAAACTTAATGTGTATATGAATTCCCTGAAAATATTGTTGAAATGCAGATTTAACAGGTTTAGGAGTGGGACCTGACTTTCTGCATTTTCACAAACTCCCAGTGTGGTTGCTGCTTACTACACTTTGAGTAGTAAGGTTCTCAGTTCCCCCAGTCACCTATCTTGATACATTTGTTCAAGTTTTGAAAAAGCTCTCTACTTTATTTTGATACTTGATACTTAAACATCCCTATTAGGCCAAAGTGCTTTAGCTCTTTCTGCTTCAGTTTAAGCAGTTCCCACCATTTTGGTCTCAATTTGCACGAATAAAAGTGAGACTTTAGAAATCTGCAAGAGAGGAAGCCATATAGTATAGTGGTTAACAGAAGAGACACTCTGGGTTTCTGATCAGACTCCACCACTTACTAGGCTTGTGACCTTGGACAAGTTACTCAACCCTGGGTAGCCTCAGTCCTCTGGTTGCTGTGAGGATGAGAAAAGATAATCCATTTGGTGCCAAGCCTAGGGTTTAGTAAACTGTTACCAAAAGGAAAGCAAGCAGGCTTTGTGAGAATACTGCCCTCCTCCAGATTATTAGGCTTCTGGGTAGAGAGTGAAATGATCAGAAATTGAGGGGTTACTGCTTTGAAGAGCATTGGAGATTGAGCTAGAGTACATCCTTTAGGGGTTACTTACTTATTCTCATCTTTTCTTTGTGCTTCTTTCTCTTGCTCCTTCCCATTACTTTTGTGAACTTGAAAACAGTATCAATTTTTTCTTCTCTACTTTTCCTGTCCCAAAGGCTAGCACACAACTTTTTTCGTAAGGACTTTTATACAAGAGAGGAAAAATAAAAGAAAGTAAAAGCACTTCTTTCCTTTTCATTGTACCCGTCGTCTCCACATTTAGATACATCTAGGAAAGATGAAAACATACGTATAAACACACTCATATATAAAAACCTAAGGCGTAACTTTTTTCTAATTATTTCATCTGGGCTGCCAGGCTTGACTCTGTAAACAGGGATGGTTGTATTTATTTAAATTCAAATGTGATGTTCATAAGAATACTTTTTAGGATTTTCGAAAGAGCTGTGAACATAAAGCAACAGAGTTTCTGCAGTAGAAATTTTAAAATGATGTAAAGATGTAGATACTGTACATTTTCAGTCAGAGTTGAAACAATTTCTCAGAAAGTCTTATGATTTTGAGCTGGGGCACTAGTTAAAAGGTGAGTAAAAGTAAGTCATTTAGATTTATTACAGTAGTTGAGAACATAGAATTACCTTGAGTAGTTCATCACTAGGTAGAATATTTTTCTGAGTGATGAACTTTTAATTGCCACTAATGCATTCTCTTAAAGAATTTCAAAAATGACTTTAATTAGAATCTGATAATTATACCACTAATATTATAGTTACAAGAAAATAGCCCTTTTTGCCTTTCAACTTTGTACGCTTATTTTATCTTTTTTACTTGAGCCTTTTTTTCAGTGTATATTATGTATGTATTAAAATCTGAAGCTTAATGTTAACTTTTAAATTTATGCCAATAAGATTGAACATTAATTTTAGCATAAAAAGGAAATAAAGGGAAGATGGCAAATAGCTTTCCGTTTTTGTATAATTTACATTCATATACATTCAGTTAATTAACTGAGATAAAAATGATTTAAATTATTTATAAATAATTGCTCAGGTCAAATTCCCTGAACATGAATACATTTCTTACTTATATTCTGTTTTAATAACTGAATAAATTAGGGCTTTGTCAGAAATTATAATAATGTACCTGTTACCTAGTGATTCCTGAGTATGTACTGACTTTCATTTCTTAAACTGTAAATTTAAACTTCAGCGTCATGTATTTTGAAGTATTCAGAAATAGCAATCAGATTATTTGGTTTCAAATTTTTGTAGTTTGTATTTTATGAAAAATAGTTGCATTGTGTCTCACAGTGTGATTATTCCTTTTAATATTATACATCATTAAATATGTCAGTCGAAGTATCAATTTATTTAAATATGAATACTAGTAGCATTATTATTCTTATTGGAGTTACTTGGAATGGAGTATAAGTAGAAGAGCATTTATTGGATAGGACTTAAAATAATGTGTCTATATAAAGTTTTGAATGTCTTGAGAGACATATGAGAAAAAGATAAAATAAGTATTGGCGCATTGCTATGTTGGGTTGTATAAAATTTTATACTTGTTCAAATTTAGAGTTGTGTCACAACTATGTGTAATATCCTGTGAAGGTCTGAAATGCTATTAAATGAAATGGGATTTGGGCTTAAATATGAAATAGATCTAGATTTTAATGTACTCCACAAGACAATGTGGCCCCTAAAATCCTAGAGGCCCTAGTGATTCCTGAGTATGTGCTGATTTTCAGTTCTTAAAGTGTAAAGGATACACACCCAAGAGAGACTCTTCAATCTTCAGGTTCTCATTAATGAAATTAAATGAAATCAGTTCAAGATACTTACTGAATATCTGTTACATGTTCGTGTGTTAAATCCTGGAGGGTGATGGTGGATGTCCCTTAGTGGTAGCCCATGTGTCCTATGATAGACTTTGGAATCAGAAGTTTTTTGAGTGCTTCCTCTTCTGTTTACCAACTAGTCATCTTGGGCAAGTTACTTGAGTTTTCTGAGCAGTGCTATATAGTTTTTAAAGTATTTTGAACATTATTTCAAACCTTACTTGACAGCCACTCTATAAAGTTAACTAGATTGATATTATTGTCATGTTCAGAGGGGGTTTCCAACTTCCATACATTTAGTGTGTAGCATGGTATGGGGGGGACAGGTAACAGCATGGATTTTAGGGTTAGACAGACTTAAATTTGAATCTTAGGGCTATTCCTTGAATATATTTCTGATATTTTTTGAGGCTCATGGAAATGATTATACCTGTTTCAGGATAGTTGTATAGGTTAAATGTGGATAAGGGCTTCCTTATAGCTTTTTCTCTTGTTCCTGGCACATAATAAGCACTTAATAAATAAATGTTTGATACAGTAAAAATTCATGGGAGCATCCTTACCTTCTAACTGGTAGTATGTTCCTGCCTGGAACTCACTGAACTTGAAACCCAGTTTATGTTTAAGGATTTTTTAAAAAATTAATCTGCTTGGTTGTGTAATGTTTAGGATGAAAAAAAAAGATAAATTTTACATTGTTTAAAGGATTTTTTCCATTAGAAGGGAGGTTACCAAAAGACATGTCTCTTGAGACCAGTTATTATGTATCAGTAATGCCTTGATTATCCATGAACCTAGTTTTTTGGTTGTTATAAATGCCTCATAGCTTAATGTTTCTCTACCACTCTCTGTTATTAGACTATTACATTTTACTTGCTATAATACTAAAATGAATCAACCATCTACACAGTCAAAGTAACATAGACCATAATTCCATAATTTACAGGCCTGGCATGATATAAATTTTTAGAAATGAGGTTTTGTGTAATTATCTATATGCAGTAAATTAATACTGTGATTTTTTAGTAAACATTTGGCTTACTATCATTGAAGCCTGCTTTGTGCAACTTTTTGGAAGCACAAAAAATTTTTTTCTTTATATGGAATTAATGTAATGTATACATTTTTGCAGTCTTATCACATATTTTAGAGTATCATCACATATGTATATTAACACATACATTTATCTAAGTATTTGGTGTCCCCCATTGGACTATGAATTCTCTAAGGATAGGACATGTTTTTTTAATCTTAAATTTTTTCTGCTTAAGTTTGTACCTGGCCAGTAAAATAGCTGTATTGTGCTTAATGTGAGACAGGATACTGGGTTCTCATGTAGGGACTTCTTAAGGGATTTTTATTTTTGTTGTAAGTATTTGGAAGTTAAACTCTGCCAAGGATGCTACTGCACTATATAGTTAGGAAACAAGTGTTATCTCAAAATTTCAGTAATTAGTAAAGCATTTAGTAATAAGTAAGTGGCACTTATTTTGAAAGATTTATTTAAACTTAATCTTTGTGTGAAAATGTAGGAACATTACTTGTGTTTTGTAAAGACTTCTGGGCCTTGTAGTGAGCTGAAAAATTTTCAAATATTAATTAAATATATACTGTGTACAAAACATACTCTATAAGGTTTTTATAAAGTATGTTTTGCTTTGGGGAAGTTTTGTTAGCCCTATCATGTTTATAAAAGCAGTTTCCAAGTTTGTTTTTCCTTTTTCTTAGAATTCTTGTAACACAAAACTAGCAGTCTGATTTCTAAATAATAGAAACCATTTTTAGGTGGGAAACCCAGAATTTTTCTTGTTCAGGTTTAGTCTCTGAATGCGATTAATATTGCTTTTTCTTTTTTTAAATCATTTTCAAAATAGTATTTTAATAACTGGTCTCAAGAGACACGTCTTTCCTGGTATACCAGGCATTATATTCTACCTTCTTTTTTTCTTTGAAACAGATTTATTTGAAAATATCTATGGGTCTTCAATGAAGAGAAGAGAAATCGAAGATCTGAAGGATAATATTGGATTCAGAGGTCATAAGCCACTTAATAGCATCACTGTGTCAAAGAAACGTAATTGGTTATATCAGAGTACTCTGAGATCTTTAAATTTGGAGGAAGAAAATAAGAAATGCCAAGCTATAAGTCATTTATCCATCTCACCTGTTCCTCTACCTAAACATCAGCTATCACGACCTTTCCTCAAATCATCTGAAGAATATTGTACATATGTGGTGTGTAATGCTACAAATTCTTCATTTTCAAGAAACTGTTCTTTAGACTTTAATGAGGAAAATGATGCAGATGATGAAGGAGAAATATGGTACAACCCCATTCCTGAGGATGATGACTTCAGTATATCGAATGCCTTAAGTTTTGGCGAGGCAAACCCTGCTGTTCTGAAGTTGCCTGCTGTCAGCTTGAGAGTATTGTCTGGTGGTGACCTAATGCAGGCAGAGCCGCAAACGGAAGACTTGCTGTGCTCTTCTGAACACGTGGATGGTGTTCAGACCACACAATCAAAGAAAAGGAATCCTGCAGATGCTATCCATTCCACAGGGTTTGTGCAGCAATACAGGCAAAGGCTTGGACACAAGACACAAGAAGGTATGATGGTAGAGAAGAGTCCTATTTTGAAATCTCCATCTGCAGGTAAAGATAATTTTATCGACCTTTTCTTTAGTTCTTTGGCAGTAACTAAAACTAAATATAGATGTCGATTGTAGCTATGTACTTTTTCTTACAAAGTAAGTGTATTTTCACAGAAATAAACTCAAAAGGTTTACAAACATGTTTATATACATGGTGCTTTAACTTGGTTTTGTAAAGGGTGATGGAGAGGGGTAGTTCTGTACCAATTTTAGTATGTCAATCCTTTGAGACAGGGATTACTTTTTTCTTAGTTGAAAGAATAGAATCATGGGGAATGGAAGAGAAAGATACGTTCTTTGTGTAAATCTTATTTTGCTTCATTCATTTATTCATTCATTGACAACTTGCCTCGCTGCAGCTGAAAAACTGTGTGTTCAGTGTACCAGTAGTTTTTAGTTTGTGCTTTTATGCCTACATTTCATCATGAGCAAAGGAAAGAAAGAAGAGAAAAATAAATAAGAAACAGAAATAAAGACCTTGCAAATAGGTGCTGCCATAGTTATGGAACCCAGAACAGAAATAATTGAAGTTTGATAGCTATTAGGCTAAACCATATGAAATTACTGATATTTTTGATCTGCAAAACACAGGATTTCATGTAGTTCAACCTAATGGTTCCTTGATTGCCTCAATTTTCTGATGTGCTTTTCAAATTCAGTTTCAGGCACACTACCCAGGAAATAGAGCATAAGGCACATTTGGTTGCAAATATCAAATGTTGAATAGAAAACAGTTTTATTTTCTATCAAGTCATTTTATTTATAAAATTTCAAATGATACAGAATATTCAAAGATGTGGGGTATAGCAGATGCTGTCAGTACCTTGTCCATTTTATTACTTATTTAAATGGGAGCAACCTACTTCCAAACATCAGTGCTGCAGCTCTGCTTGAGGACTCTGTGAGGAATCCCTCCACAGGGCAGCCTGGGAATGCCCCTCACCCAGTGACTGACAGTTGATGGAGGAGTACACCAGCTCCTTCTCACCTTGGCTGGGATGATTCTGTATTGTTGCCCAGAGTTTTCTCATGAGGTTAAGCTCCAGTTACCCATAGTAGTTAATAGGCTTGATAGCTCATGTTAAATTTTCCCCTGTGCTTTCTCCCTTTGTTGCTGATTTTTTTTTACTTTACAAATAAACTGCCTGCATCTAAATCCTTTTCTCAGGGGTATAGGGAAATAGGGTAAATGGTATATTGATAAGAGAAAAAGTGAGTTAAAGAACAGTGTGTACTTACTGTATGATGTCCGTTTTTAGAGAAACACTGAAAAGCTATCCTGGTTAATGTGTGCATCTTCCACCCCCACCCCACCCTGCTGCCACCTCCCAGTGTTGGGATTTAATAAAAAATTAAAAATTTTGTGTGTGTGCATTTCTGATTATAGACTGGTTTTCCAGACTGTGCCAGTTTCACTTGATTCTAGCCCAGTTCATAAATTTATACTTAAAGATTTTTATTTTGTATTTTCCCTTCATAGCTAGTTTGTGATTTGATTAGTATAATTTTAGTCTAATTTTAAGTGATTGTTGAATTTGGTAATATTTTGGCTCTTGGATTTATAAAAATAAAGCATTTTTATTTGGTCTTATCTGCAATGGAAATTGCTAACACACCTAACATTTCATTTAAATAATTAGTTAAGAATTTCAGTAGGAAATAATGCACAGTGTATCAGAAAAGTCAGAATGTTAGATTAACTTCTTAATTATTTATAAAACCTTGAGCAATTTAATATAGTGGGTAGCTTTTTTACGCTGTGACAAAAAAGATAGACTGTAGACGATAGCAGGACTCTAATTACTATAGAATGTTTTTGACAAATAAACCAGTAGAACTGTACTAAAATTTGCAGTATAAGGGAATGCTTTGTCTAGTTTATCAGATACTCCATTTCTTATTAGTTGTTTACAGGAAAGCCCAGCAGGCATACTTAGAATAGTCCTTTTCTTTATAAAGAAGGCACTTTTTTTGTCATTAGGACACATAAAGAGGGGTGGAGGGAGAATACTATATTCATACGTTAAAGAAAGGTCATTTAATCCACTTATTTTAAAAATGAATAAGCACTTTTTTCTCATTTTAATTGTGAAATGTAGTGTTACATAGAATAGCCTCTGATACTAGGATCATGAAAGATCTCTATAAGGAATAAAGTATGAAAAATTAATGCAAATTTGAAATAATTGGGGTAATACTGTACTGTTCTTTAAAGGAACAGTTTAAATTTATGTAATATTAGATTTTAGAAGATATTTTCATTTTGCTTTATTAGTTTGAAAATTTACTATGAAGAATTTCAAATTTTGAAATAAATTGATTTGTCTACATTTTTTTAAAAGTGGAAGATTGAAAATTCAGGTTTAAATGGAGTACTTTAACTTCTTAATAATAGTTGAGAAAAGGTTGAAAAAATCTAACAAATACGTATGTACAGAAAAATGTTTAGTGAAGGCTGGAAGAGCTCATATTATTTACAATAGCCAAGTTATGGAAGCAAACTACGTGTCGATCAGTAGATGAATGAATAAAGAAGAGGTGGTACATATATATAATGGAATATTATTCAGCCATAAAAAAGGGACAATCCTGCCATTTGCAACAACATGGATGGACCTAGAGGGTATTATGCTAAGTGAAATAAGTCAGGCAGTGAAAGACAAATACCATATTATTTCACTTATTTGTGGAATCTAATCACAAAGCAGAATGAACAAAAACAGCAGTAGACTCAGACACTGAGAAGTGACTTGTGATTACCATGGGGGAGGGTTTGGGGTAGGTAGGTGGAGAGGGTGAGGGGGATAAAGAGGCACAAAAATTCTCAAGCATAGTATAAGTTGGTCATAAAGATGGTAGTATGCATGCAGAAAATAGCTAATGATTATGTAATGTCTTCCTGTGTTGACAGAGAGTAACTGCACTAGTGGGGGTGAAGATTTAATAATATGGGTAACTGTTGAACCACTGTGTTGTATACTTGAAACCAGTATAAGATAGTATATCAATGATACTTCAATTAAAGAGAAAAAGAGTATGAGCTCTGAAGGCCTATACTTAGGTTTGACTCCTGCTTGGTTCTGCCAGTTACCAGCTTTGTATTTACATAGACAAATTAGCTCTGTGCATGAGGTTCCTTGTCTAGAAAATGGGCTGCTAGTGGTATCTTAACTCAGAGGGCTATTATGAGAATTTAATGAGGGTCTGTGAATACTAAGTATTAAATAAATTTTTCATACTTTGTCTAGCTGAATAAAATATTGACTGGCATTATTTTTAATAGCTGATCCTTGAACAACACAAGTTTGAACTGTGGAGTTCCACTTACAGGCAGATTTCTTTTCAGTAAATATTTTGAAAAACTTTTTGGATATTTGCAACAATTTTAAAAAATATTTTCTTCTCTGTAGCTTACTTTTTGTAAGAATACAGTATGTAAGAAACATAAAATATGTGTTAATTAGCTGTTAATGTTATTGTTAAGGCTATAGTCAAGAATAGGCTATTAAGTTTTTGGGGAGTCAAAAGTTATAGATGGATTTTGGACTGCTCAGGGTGTCAGTGCTTTTAACTCCTGTGTTGTTCAAGGGTCAACTATAGTTAAATACTAATAATTTAATATTAAGCTGCTTTTAAAATTATTTTCACCACAATATTTACAGTGGTTAATCTCTTGGTAGTGCAATTTAGGCTATTTAATTGTACTTTGAAAGTAAAGTAAAAGCTTGTACAAAATCTTTTAAAAAACTTTTTTATTTTGAAACAGGATAATTTTGATGTTTGGAAAAAATAAAGCTGTTTTTGTGTGGAGAAAAATTCAAAAACATTTCAGTACTCTTTATGAAAACTGAAAATTATAGTAAAACTTATTTATATCTCTGTATTATTATTTAATATATTGAAATATCAAGGAAATGCCCTAATTTAGCTTTTGAAGTTCTAGGGAATTATTGTATACAAATAATACAAGAAATAAAATGTCTTTACAGTTCTGAAAATTATTCAGTTAGATTCATGATAGTCAATAGTCATTCTTGATTGACTAGTGTTCATTCTGTATCATCTTTGGCGATATGTTCTAATAGAATTTTGAAATGAGGATGGGCTCTTAATTGCCAAAATTACAAAATTTTTTGTTTTTAACTTAAAAACCACCACTACTATGTAGTAAAATTTTATTTTCAGGGAATTATAAATATAGAGGAAACATTTTTATATTAGAGTAGGATTTCTAAATATGTTGAAATAGGAAATATGTATTTAAACATTAAAATAAGAAGCTTTCCTAGTTCCCTCTGATATCTGCTGTTTATGCTAATAAAATAACATCCTCACTGAATTATATTGCATCAGGAAAGAATTAAAAGGGACCTATATTATCCTTCCTCAAAACCTTCACAACAGAAAAGCAGATGGAGGAGATTATTCTTTCCACTGTAAGCCACTTGGAAATACATGGTAACGCTGTTTGAACACTCATCTAAACTTGTAACTAAATCTCCCCTTTGAGATGAGACTAGGGAAGGATTTCTGTCCACTTGAGAGCTTGTTTACTTAATGGTTTATAAAGTAGGAATAAAAGTAGAAATAAAAAATATCACCTTATAATATCTTCTTTTTTTTTTTTTTAAGGTCCTGGGATTCTAACTGCTACAAATAAGACTGAATTGGGAGTTATAGAACCATCTTCTCCAATCCCTAGTCCTATTAAAAAAGGCAGTTCAATTAATTGGTCTTTGCCAGATAAAATAAAATCTCCACGAACTGTGAGGAAGCTTTCCATGAAAATGAGAAGATTGCCAGAACTTAGCCGAAAACTGAGCGTTAAAGGAACCTCTAATTATATAAACAGTCCAGATAATATTCCTTCCTTGTCTAAATGTAATTGTCAAGAAATTCATCATGCTATTATTTTACCTACTGGGAACACCACCACAGCTGCTAAGAGGAATGTTATAAGTCGGTACCATCTTGACACCAGTGTATCTTCTCAGCACAGCTACCAGAAGAGAGCCTCTATGAGTTCTAAGTATTCTTGCAAAGGTGGTTACCTCAGTGATGGAGATTCACCTGAACTTATAACTAAATCTAGCAAACATGGATCTGAAAACAAATTTGGAAAGGGAAAAGAAATAATTCCCAATAGTTGTAGCAAGAATGAAATAGACATCGATGCTTTCAGACATTACAGTTTTTCTGATCAACCTAAGTGTTCGCAATACATATCTGGGCTCATGAGTGTGCATTTCTATGGTGCTGAGGATTTAAAACCACCTCGGATAGATTCAAAAGATGTCTTTTGTGCTATTCAGGTAGATTCAGTAAACAAAGCAAGAACAGCTTTGCTCACATGTCGGACAACATTTTTGGACATGGATCACACTTTCAACATAGAAATTGAAAATGCACAGCATTTGAAATTAGTAGTATTCAGTTGGGAACCCACTCCAAGAAAAAATCGAGTGTGTTGCCATGGAACTGTTGTTCTCCCCACCTTATTCAGAGTGACAAAGACACATCAACTGGCTGTCAGACTTGAACCTAGAGGTCTTATTTATGTGAAAGTGACTCTTCTGGAACAGTGGGAGAATTCTCTTCATGGACTGGATGTAAATCGAGAACCAGCAATATTTGGTGTTGATATTCGAAAAGTTGTAGAGAAAGAAAATACAGGTTTGATGATGCCACTCCTGATACAGAAATGTATTACAGAAATTGAAAAGAGAGGCTGTCAGGTATTATTTCACCTGTTTCTCTACTTGACCCCATTTCTATTTGTTTATCTTTATTAATGAAATTTATTTATAGTCAATCTTGGGGTAAGGAATTCAAGGTAAGGTAAAGAAACATCTCATTTAGGCATTCTTTCACTCCTATTCTATATTTTTATTCTGTTACTGTTTAGGGTATAATTGATACCTTAATTTACATTGTCAGTGATTGATAGCCTGCTAGATGGTTCCACAATTTTTGTTGTGATGCAGAGGCCTTATACCTGGATATCAAGATTTTTTTACAATGGCATTCTTGGAGAAGTCAGAGCTGATAACATAGGCAAAGACTAATTCATTTAAGGAATGTTTCTGCATGGTTTGACATTTCTATGGTAGAAAGTTCCAACAGTGACTCTTATGACCCTGCTTTACTCCTAAAATTAACTCACTGCCTTGATTGCCTGTTCTCCTCTAGTCCCGCTCTGGAAAATATAAGCTTATTTATCTCTGAATTTTGGGATAGCATGGAGGTCCTATTAGTAAGAATACATCTAATTCTCTTTTCCTTTTAAATAAGAAGATGAAAGCAGCCCATTAGAACAAACAAAACATCTTGTGTTACTTATAACAAGATATGTAATGTTAACCAGTTAGTAGACTTTACCTTTATTTTCATTAATACATGTGGAATATGACAATGAGAAGCAGCATATTACTGAGGATATTATCCTAAGGTACAAGTAATTGTTTGTACTCATTTATTTTGTGACACAAACCTAAAAATAAATATGTTCTGAGGTATTTCTGCCTTAGTGCTATCAGAATTAATAATAGTGATTAAAAACATCTAGGGTAAATAATACAAAATCTAAAATATGATTTCTTTATATGTAGAAATGAGTTTAAAATAACTCACCTTGAACTTGAAGTAGAAATTATAGAACAGCATAACTTAGTGGAGTTTTGTATTAAGGTACAGGAAACTTGGATTCTAGTCTCTCTTCCATTATTAATTAGCTGTGTGATGTTGAGCAAGTCACTTAATCTCTGTGGGTCTTATTTGTTTATATCTATAAAAATAGATGCAATAGCTTCCTGAAGCTGAAAAGTAGGACATCTGAACTTTGGAAACCTCTTCTTGGATGTTTCATTCAATCAAGGCGAATTTATGTTGTTTGTATGCAAGTGAGACCCTTAATTTCCAAATCACCTTTTGGTACAGTTACTTTTTCCTTAAGGTTTTCTGGTTTCCCTACATTTTTTTTCAGGTAGCATGTAGAGAGGTCAGAGATTAGGCAGACTTTAAAGCTAATTATTAAACAGAAACTTTTACAACTGAATATTGAATTTAGTAACTCTAATAGCACTGTATTTTAACAGTTTATATTCTGAAATATTTTATAAAGAGCAGATGTATAAGGCTGTTGTCACTTGTTTTAAGAGCTAAGAAAACATTTTTAGCAATGTTTATTTTTATAAAGTTTAGAAAGATTTATTTCAATAAAGAATTATTTCCTGTGAACTAAAAAGTGGATTTTACAGTTGTACATTTGGAAATGTGTTTTTTAACAGGTTTTTGCCTTTGTTTTGTCTCTTTTACTTCTCCCTGTGTCCTCTACCCCTAAAAGAGGCAAAATTTTTGTGCCTGCATTTTAGATTGCATACTGCTTAGGTTTTATTTACATTTTTAGTCAGTAATTATTCTTTCTTTTTTGCTATGAAAGTCAGGTTTTGTTAGTCACATAAAAATAGTTTGTGACATCTTCCAAATGCTTTGAAGGCTACTACAACCTTTTGAGGAAATCAACATGGTATCTGTAAAGAAAAAAGTAAGCCTTATTTAGCAATAGTTTTTAAAAGAATAAACCTTCAGGAAAATTAAGGAAAATCTGCAGTTGTTCCCTATGCTTCCAATTTAAAAGACTATTTAGGAAGTATGACCACCTTGAATTGAAGTAAGTTATAGAAAAAAATTATTTTAGAACATAAATAAAGTAAAAACAAACAATGGAGATTCCCAAGGATTTGAACTAAGAATCACTTTAAATTGTCATACATGATCTAGGAGAAGTACACAAATGAAATTTCCAGGGTTACTAGAACACGAACCTCTTCTGAGTCATTCAGTAATTGATAGAATATATTTTAGGGCATCAGTATGGGAAATGGCAATCAATACAGGCCTCAATATAGGAAAATGTCAATAATGAAGACAGGGAAATGTTATCCAAAATACTTAAAACAATAAACTATTAAGTATTCATTGGAAGATAACAAAGAGCCTATAATTGTTTCTAAGAGAAAATAATGCAAAGTGCTGCTACATTCAAAAGGATCAACATAATGAGAAACCAAGAAATATTCTGAGAAGAAAATTCAAATTTCCTACTCTTACCCACATTCATGGTACACTCATTTTTTGAGAATAGCATGTGCTATGCTGGTCACATCATTGCAAGATATGCTAAAACTGTACATGATCCAGAAAATGAAACTAAAATATTAAACAGGGTCAAAGGAAACTTTATCACATTAGAAGAAACTAACTTGAGTACAGCCCATCAGGTGTAGGATCACTTAAGGGTCACAAAACCCCACAGAAAGGATGAACTTAAGAAGGACATGAATACTTCAATGGTAAGTAATAAATTAATGGAACTTATTATTCCAAAAGCTGAAATTACAAATACATATTTTTGAAGATGAATAAAGGAAGGAAGATCTAATGAAGATATTTCAAGGAGAGGATACTTTAGGAAAGGATACAACCCCAACTTCAGAAGCTGACTCCTTGAATCAAACACTTGGAAGTACATGCTTGATGCCTCTCTCAGAGATAGATTCTGTACTGGATGGAAAGTACCATTTCCCACATCACTTTATAATAAATTAATTTGTAAGTTTAAAAAATTCTAGATTTATTTTTATTTCTTCCTGATAATGTTTTTTTCCTAAAAGATAACTTTCACAAATAGTATCCTGGATGATCTTATCTCATCTATATACTTTCTAATGTATAAACTGAGTTTTTAAGAGATTGAATAACTTGCCCAAATTCACTAAGCAAGGAGTACCACAACAGGGCTACATGAACCCCAAAGCCCTGTTTAACCACTGTGCTGTATTACTTCAGTCTGGAGCAAAGATGTGAGAGGGCACGACCATGGGGCAGGGACATACTGGCTGAGCACATAAAACTAAATAGGAGGGATTGTAGTTTCTTCGCTTAAGATAAGATAGCCAGCACTTCAGAAATCATAGTATATTGTTTGAATTTAAAGAATAGAATGTTTTTATTAAACTAATCAATATAGTCTATGGTGAAAATTGGTAAACTGAGGTATTTTTAAATGTCATCAGAACATATTTGATTGCCAAGTTCATGTGATTTTTATGTACTGTACTATTATATCTTCTCTACCAAATTTACCAGTGGCCATAATTTTATTTCTAGGTAGTAGGCCTATACCGATTATGTGGTTCAGCTGCAGTCAAGAAAGAACTTCGAGAGGCTTTTGAGAGGGACAGCAAAGCTGTTGGTCTGTGTGAAAACCAGTACCCGGATATAAATGTAATAACAGGTAATAAATATATTTTATTTTATGTACACATTCTGGAAAGACTATTCTGCCCGAAAAAAAGAATTGAAATAGTATTTTGTAGCCTACATTTAATTTGGTTTTATTCTGAAATCTTATTTTCTTCTTTCACAGCACTGCTATGTTATTTTCTGTGGGCAGGTACCAAGGTAGGACCCCTGCCCTCAAACAGCCAGTGAATGCTAGGGGGAAGTAAAGCCTACATTAAATTAGCTATAGTAGCTAGCAGAAGGAAAAGGACACCTTTTCTTCATTAAGAGATGGATAAAATGCCATCACAGCTCAGTGTGACTGGAGTCTAGGTAATGTAAAGAGCATTGACCATATGATTAGAGAATTTAGATTTATTTACTAGGCAGAGGGGATCTGTCAAAGATTTTTGAGCAGGGGAGTGAAATCTCTAGAGATAGCCTGGCAACTCTGTGGTGGACTGAAATTAGAAGAGACCAGAGGAAGGAAAACCCATTAGGAAGCCTTGACATCAGTCCCAGCAAAGAGGTAGTGAGAGCTGAAGGAGTCTGGTAGCATAGAAATAGGAAAGAATAGAAGAAAGGATATGAAAAGAGAGGGCTCAGATAGATATGACCTTGACACCTGGCTGATTGGGTACCATTAGCAGAAAAATAAGAAAGCTGAGAGGAGAGCAACTGCTTTTGGTGAAGAAATGTAGAGAAAGATTATGAACTGGGTTTCTTTTCAAACTTATATATTCAAATTCAGTTACTAGTAGATCTAAGTGGATATATAAGCAAAGTAGAAAGTGCCCATCTACCACTGAGAGGATGAGTAGATTTTGAGGAGTCCTTTATTTACTTAAGTGGTGAATGTATCCAATGTGTGGCACTGAAAATACATTTCTAGTACTTCTGGGGCTGGGGTGGAAAATGACAATTTGAGAGTCATTGGCATGTATTGTAATTAATCTGTAAAGTTTGAAAAGACAAAAACTTGGAGGATCTCCAAACTTCAGAGGCAGGTAAAGAGGATCTATCAAAGATTTTTGAGCAGGAGAGTGAAATCTTTAGAGATAGGGAAGGAATCAGAAAGTTTGAGAAACAAGAGACAACAGAGTTCAAGGAAAGGTGTGTTTCAGTATCATTCTGTAGAGGAATCACTGTAAGATGAGACTAGAAAAAAGGCCTTAGACTTTGGCTATTATGTGATTGTTCATAATTAATTGGTATCTTCAGGGACTATTGGATTATAATTCTGTTTGCTTTTGTTGTTTTACTTTTTATTAGCAAAGTTTTCAAGCATATTCAAAAATAGAGAAAATATTATGATAAACCCTCTTTATCCATCACCTGCTTCCATAATCAACACATGACCAAACCTGTCTCATTTATATACCCTCATTTGATTCTCCCCAAACTTGGATTATTTTGAAGTGTATCTCAGGTATCATATCCTGTAACCTGTAGATGCTTTAGTAGGTAGCTCCAGGTTTTCTGTATATTTCGATAGTTCTTTCTCTTCTTTCTACTGTCAACTACCATTCTTTTTTGCTTGCTAAAATGGTGTTCATATTTTCTAATTTGCTTTCTTATTTTACATAAAATTAATTCTCTAGGTGAGAATTTGTGGAAGGTTTGACTTGTACACATTAAAAAGATTTTGTTGGTTGAAATACTTTAAAGCTTACTTTCAGGATTGAGGCTTTCCAACTAGTTGAGGTTTCTAATCTCTGAACCCTGGATGACTATAGTTTTTCATAAAGTATTTAATATATACTCTTGGATAACCAAACTTTGAGCCTAACCATTTTCATGCTAAGAGAAAACAAACTAAGGTACTTCTCCTTCCTTATAAATTTTAGCAAATCAGAAATAATGGTTACTTTTATTTTTGTACAGAAAGAGGGCTTATCATTTCTACAGAAAATGTAGAACTTTTCCCATAGTGATATGTAATTAAAAAAATCAGCTATGGACAAATTTTATGAATTCATTAAAGAGAAATTTTACAAATAGCAAACCTCAGGAAATTACAATCTATGAACGAAAGGAGATCTTTGTCTTAGTGTAGCCTTAATTTTAGAAACAAAAATTATGTCAAATATGTACAATTTCAAAAGATGAAATTATGTGGTTTGAATTGATTACTTGCTATGAAGGTCTTTAGTTGGAAATTTACAGCATATGCAGAAGATATAAACAACAGATCAATGAATGTCATATTTATAGCATTCTTTTCTAAAATTGAGAGTTTCCATAATTTATTACATTTCAGTAAAACTGTTTTTCAAAAGAACCTAGAGCTATTTTCTTTCTTGAAAAAAAGCCAATGACATGATTTAAGATACATCTGAGAAATGCCATTGGAATTGTAATAAATTATACCCAAGGTCTCATCATGGCTCAAATAAAGGGTATTGTTGATTTGGGGAATTGCCAGTAATAGTGCTGCCTCATGTGTTTGTTCTGTGTGAAGTCACATTTCTAAGTAAACTTTGACATAACAATTAACAGTTCAGTGGGTCTAAAAAATGGGGTATTAATGATGTGAGTGATAGAGTTTATTCACAGTTTAATGTGTTCTTAGTAGGTGGTTTGTCTGGAACACAGAATGAAGTGCTCTAGACAAATCAGGTGCAAACTTCAAGGCATAAAATCGATTTGTAGTTGTTTATAGGGCTTATTTACCGAAGGAACAAGAAGAGAAATTAGGAAAGTCAAAATATTATTTAGTGATTATTAGAAAACAGCAAGTCTCCTGAGGAGGAAAATTCAATTTGAATGCACTCCCTAATGTAAAATAGACTTCACACATCAGTATTACACAATCAGTACCTAAAAGTTCATTTGGTCATGCCTTTTCCTGATTTTAATGTTGCTTTAATTATTTTATTTTCCTTTGAAAGAAAACTTGATCAGAAATAAGCCAGAAATTATCTTTAAATCATTAATAATTTTCTTATATACATATTAAATATACATTTTTCCTACCATGTGTATTATGTGTTCTTTGACCTTGGGCACATTAACTTCCAAATTATTTCTGATTTTCTTCACCTGTATTAAAGATGTCTAAACTGTATAGACACTAAGGAATGCAAAACGTTGAGGAATAGTCCTAGATTTGGCAAACAAAATATACTGAGGCAGCATATTTGATCTGAGGAGCCATTTGATCTGAGTATCATGTATAGAGTATGACTAAAGTAAGCAGTAAGTTCAGAAAGAGTAAGTGAGGTAGGGTGGGGTAGATTAATGGATTTAAAAAATTAATTTGTAGCACTAACTCAGAAAATGTCAATGATTTTACATTCAATCTACCTACTCTAATGTATCTTTACTATCTATGTAAATTTTACCAGAGAAAAAATGATCCTTATGGTTTTAAACCTGTATTTCAATATTTTGGTTCTAAAGAGTTAATCTTTTGTTTTAGTGAGTGCTGGTAGAGGACAAGTGTACTTTCCCAGGAGTCTTATGAAGTCAGTGAGGCTACTTAGTATATTAATTTTCATAATCCTGCAGTTGCTTTTAGAAAGATAATATCCATCCATCCAACCATCATATATTGAATGGTTCCTGGGATATGGATAGGTTTTGTGTTGATTTGTAATTAACATGAAGAATATTGCCATCTTAATGGTAATACCTATTACAGTAGCTGAAAAAATGTAGCCAGATCAGTTCTTCATTTACTTATATTTGTTTGTATTTTCTTCCAGTACATGATAAAAGATTACTCTTTTGCACTAAACTCCTCCATAATAGTTTTCCCCAAATCTCCTTTAAGTAGCTCCTGTAGCATTAAACATTGTCACTACAAACTGATCTTAAAATTTTATGTCACCAACGTGTTTGAAAGATGTTAAGAAGACAATATGACTTAAGATCACTAAGTTTTTGGACTAAGGCCATATAGCTAATTTCTAGATTGATGAGTAGTCACGTAGCATATGTCACAACATAATATAAATACCTCTTTTCTGTATTATTTTATAAAATCTTTTGACAATTTTTTTCCTGTGAACTCTTTGCATATACAAAAGGAACTATAGCTTTTACTTCATTGGACATAATGTACATTGAATATACTTGAAGTGCTTAATATCTGTTAATGATAATTCTCCCTTATTTGCTCTCAAGATTAAAATAAGTAATCTTGAACTTGGGTTAATTTAAAATTCCATATATATTAATGGTTGTTTTAGTATATTCATTATATAAAGAATAATGGTTTTTAAAATACATGTTTAAGTTGTAAAGTTATCTTTTCTGGAGATCTTTTAGTTTTTAATTTAATATAATTGCATTATAGGGCAAGTCTCAAACTACCAAGGCATATTGAGTTTTGCTAGAACTAACAAGTTTTGTTTCGCTAAGGAATAAATATGGAATCTGTTCAAAAAAAATCATGCCCTAAAGGGTTAGTAATATTGGCAGCTACAGAAATTGCACTTCCACTTTCTAACTAACTCAATTGTTCTCTTTACACCAAATGTTGCTATTCATTGAAGTTAGGTTTAGACTGTAAAATTAATGATGGTAGTAAAGAACACAGAGGTTAAGGAATAGGAATAAACAATTATTGCATGCCTACTGTATATAAAATGCTTTATTATGATCACTGTACATCTAACATGTATTGATTGTTATGATATGTTGAGCAACTTTATTTATGTTATACCTCTTCATGTATTTCAGGGAAGAAGTTTGGTCAATATACTTTTGATTCTTTTTCCAGATTATTACTTTTCACTGTTCAGTAAAAGCTTATGCTTTCTTGAGGAATAAGGCTCCTTTTAGGCTCATGGCACATTGTTGCACCACCTCTACCCTTCCTATTTAACATCATCTACAGAACTCTTGGGCATACCCATTTATTCAGTTAGACTGGTATCTCACCTGTGGTTGTATTTCCAAATGAAGTCCTACCATCATTCTAAGTGATTTTTAACATGCAAATGGCCAATCCAGAATCTATTTGTTGAATGACTGTTCTTTCCTGGTAGAATTGCACCTCATCAAGAA